GAGGCAAGACACGTGTCCGCCCGCCCGCGCGCAATGCAGCGCCGGGCTGTCTGTCACCAGACCCCGATCAAAATTACGTTTTTGCGATTCTCCCTCCTCAAGAGGGCGTCCGATCAAAAAGCTGTCCGCAATTTCGTCCAGGCAGGGCTTCGAGTTCTGAGTTCTGGCTCAATGCGAGTCGGGCGCAAGTCGCATTGCATCGCGCATTTTTTTCTCGTATGTAGATGGTGAATTTGTTGCGAGACGCATGATGCGCGAGAGGTTAGATTGCTGCGAGCGTATCATCAACATCACTTTTCTGCATCACCTTGCTTGACTCGCTGCACGGCCCAGTCGTGAGTGACAATGCCAAGAGAGGCTCCCGCCCGTGCTACAGCGCCCTCAATCTTCGTGCCTCGTGAGCGCAAATGAGACGTGATTGTCCTCGACACTGCGGTTGACAAAAGACTTACGAAACTCGGAAGCAGTACCTTGGCATTTCCGCGCCTTGCACAACACTTGTACGTACAGACAATTCATCAATTCATTGCGCGAATGAGACCAAGACCTCGCTCGGTAGAGGCGTATGCCATCATCAAAGTGGGCATAAAAGTTGTAGACACAGAAGAGGGGACCCCAACAACGCGTCGGTTCTCTAATCGTACAAGAAAAGGAAAGCCCCTTGCTAGCCGGTCGACACCTGAACATCGTGTCAAGTGGCGCCGTCAAAGTCGAGGCGGGATATCAAGTCGGAAGAGCCCCGAAAGAGACGTGACACTTGACTGCAAACGGTTGCTAGGGTCGATTCCGCAATGTTGCCGTTCAATGGCTCTCGGAACCGGAAGCGTCTCGAGTAAGATCTTGGTTGCCATACTTCTTCTCCGCTGACTCGTTGACTTGTCCCGCTTCTGCCAGAATGGCATCGAGCGCGACCGGTCGACCGTGCTCGTCGTAGCGGCGAGCAGTCTTTTGCTCTTGCAGGACAACATCGTAGGGGTTGATGTAGGAAGACTTGGCAAAGATGGCGTCCATCTCCTCCAGACTTCTGGACTTGGTCTCGGGGAAAATCAGGAATGTGGTGACGAAAATGGCAAAGTTGGTGCACATGAAGATCAGATACGTCCTGTACTGGATGCTCTCGAAAGCGATAGGCGTGATGAGGACGACGAGGAAGTTGAAGAGCCAGTTGGCACTTGTAGATACACCATTCGCAGCCGCTCGGATGGAGAGAGGAGTAATCTCGGCAGGGTAGAGCCACGTCATGCCGAGCCACCCGATGGCGAAGAAGGTGTTGAAGATGAACAGGAAGACGGCGGCGACATAGCCTGGAGCCTTTCTGGGGACGATCTTGACAGCATCTACTCCTGTGCCAATCGTGTACTCTCCTGTGACGCCAGGGGCTGTCATCGCGGCGAGAATGGCCATGCTGATAGACATGCCGGCGGCACCGAACAGCATAAGCTTACGACGACCAAACTTCTCGATGGTGAAGACGGCGACCCATGAGGCGGCAAAGTACTCTGTACCGTTGGCGGCGGCGACGAGACGCGAGACCAATGGGCTCATTCCAATGTTGCGTTCGAAAATGGTGGCGGCGTAGTAGGTGATGAGGTTGATACCAGAAATCTGTTGGAACATTTGAATGACGAAGCCGAGTACGGTTCTGTGGAAGTTGCGCTCTGGCCCTTGCTTGAAGAGATCGCTGACGCCAGCACCGGTAGCTTCTTCGATCGACTCTTTGATCTCTTCGACCTTGACGTCAATCTCTGGGTCATCCAGGGGTAGTTCTTCGAGGGATGCCATGACAGAGCGGGCCTCCTCCTCGCGACCTTTGAGCAGCAACCAACGAGGAGATTCGGGCATCCAGATGGTGACGAGGGTAGGAATGCAGAGGACGATCTGGAAAGCGATGGGCATACGCCAAGACACACTCGAAGTGCTGCGGGGGGCATTTGGATTGCCGCCGACCACGTCGGGGTCGAGCCAGAAAAAGGCGAAGTCGATCCAGTATGCCATGCAAATTCCACCCGTGATGAGGGCACCTTCCACCATGACGAGCATGCCACGCTTGTGAGGGGGCGAGCATTCAGACTGCCACATAGGAATGGTAGCAGTATGCATACCGTTACCTACACCACCAATGATACGGCCAGCAATGAGAGCACCAATGTTGGGAGCAGCGGCCTGGATGATGGCGCCGATGATCATCCACTACGAGTCGTCAGAAGAGAAGAAAAGGTGCGTTTAGCGTCAGCGTGGCTTCTCGAGTACATTGAGCGCGCATTCATGAACCAGCATTGTGCTGCCACACCAAGACTGCCGCACCGTCATGGGCACTCACAATAGTACCGATCCAGATGATTGCACGACGACCCAGCAAGTCGCCAAGCCAGAGACAGGAGACCGCGCCCAAGAAGCAACCGATTTCGTAGAGACCAATGGTGAGACCTTGAAGAGTGCTTTCGCTCGAACGAGCTCCTTCTGCGCCAGGTTTGGTCGTGTCGATCTCGGGAAAGCTGCGTGGCAAAAGAGTGGCAGCATCGCACGCG